AATGTTTATGGAAAACTCTTGTGTGTAGGCTGAATAACTACAAAAACAAAACAAAAAATAAATAGAATAATCAAAAGTACAAAAAATATAGTATTCTAACCGATAACTTAACCTTTTAAAAATATTGAAACCTTTATGCGGTGCATACGTAAGTACAAGTTTTAAATTACGTTATTGCATAAGTTACTATTTATTCGGAAAGTCAAAAATACAATAATCATTGTTTTCTCTGCATATACTTTATTATTAAATTTACCATGTATTGATAACCCTGTTTACAATGATCTCTTGCTTATCGTCAAGAATCGAGGTTAGTGCTTTCATAGAGATATGACTGAGACAATTGACTACGATTAAATCCTAGTAACCAAATTGCACATGGATTTTTACTGAATAATCTTCAACTGAAGCAGCCCCAAGTAAAGGCTTACAACCCGCCTCGCTTATGTCGTGTAGTGCATCGTTTAATTGCATTAATTTCTCACGGCGATTCTCGGAACCGTCATACTCACGCAATAATTAAACAATGACGTGAAATCTCGCTTCAGATTGAATAACAACCATTAACTCACATGCAGTTTGACTTAGGTAATTACCCCTTGGAAACAAAAACCTTCAACTGAACAAAACGTACACGGCGGAGTGATTTATGGTGTGTACCGTTTATTCAGGAATAAATTATAAGCTTTTTATATACCATTAGGGTATGGTAATAATTTAATTATTCACAACAAAAATGCAATTCTGAAAGGTTCACTGAAACAGTAGTTCGTAAAGTAGACCTTTAACAGTCATGTTATTAAAGACGGAAATATTTTAGGGCTTTTTTATAGTCTTTTCTTTGCTCTTTAGAAGCCTGATTTTTTTCGAAGTATTTTAGAAGATAATTTGTATACAATGTCAAATTATGGAACTTGAATACACTTTATGTTATATTTTAACAACCCATGTGAATGTTACCTCAGAAGCCAATATGAGAAAAAAATATCGTGATATTTAGTCCAGGAAGCCGAAACGTCCCGGACAGAACTGCTATAGTAGGACCAGGTCTTCTTCAGCCTTTAAAAAATCTTTTGTGTGATGTACCGGGGATTGAACCCGTCCCTCCCGCACCGAAGTACGGAACGCTAACCATTAGGCTAGCGACACGCACAAAAAAGTAAACCATAATGTAAATTGATTCTGAATATGTGAGAATCGAGAGAGAAACTACCATAAAAGCAGTTTTCTTCGTTTATTTCCCAACACAGTCTACACAGCCTATCACTGGATACTCAATAATGTAATTTTTCAGACATGTTTGGTGGATTCTCGATTTTTTTTGCCATTGAAACTTCCTCTCAATCCCAAACAGTCAATGATGAAAATCAAGCCCTTTAAACTGTCCAAACGTAGCACAAAAAGGTGAACCTTGTGAGCAATAAACGAAGACTGGGGTAGACTTCCGTATCTGTTGGCACAAACAGCCGAATAAAAATATCGATTATCCGATTGTTTCATTCGATATACCGTTTGGTTAGTTAGGTTAGGTTAACCATACCTAACTAAACGAACAATATATCGAATAATTGATGTATATTTATTATTCGATTATTTCATTCGATATATCGTTTGGTTAGTTAGGTAAGGTTAACCATACCTAACTAACCGAACGATATATCGAATCATCGATATATCAATCGATATATTTTCATTCGGTTGTTTGTGTCAACAGATACGGAAGTCTACCCGAAGAATGAAGTTCGCATGCACAGTCTAGATGAAACCTGAGTGTAATGTTCACATGGCTAATAAAGATTAAACCAATTTGTAAGACAGTTTAAACAATGCGGGGGCTATAGAGCAGTTCCAGTTATAGTGGCAGTCTAGATAGTTGGACTTGTTCAGGCTCGGTCCATTCTTCGCTCGATTATCCAGTAACATTTGCAGAACTGGTTTGCTCATTGCTTGATGTCAATCTACCTATAGAGTGTAAGTAGTCTATACAACCGACATTCTCTATTGATTGATAAGACAACCTGTTTGTGCCGATGTGTCAGAATCATTAGTATTTAATGCCCAAGATTAATTGTGTGGGTTAGCTTACGCAAAAGTTATAGCTGAGAGAATTACGTTTTATGAAATCGTAAATTTGTAAGCTCTTAAAAACTCCTTTAAAAGAGTCTCGAAAAATTAAAAAAGAAATATTCTGATACATCAAAGAGCATTTTAATGCACTGTATTACAAATTTATTTTTGTTCTTGATTGAGAATATGATACTTGATAAGTAATAATGGTATGATGAACAGTCTAACTGGAGACCACGTACAGGAGGATGGTTTCATATTTCTTTATGTATAACTACTAAACGAAACTATATATACATAACCTATTGTAGCTTCATCTTTTGACTTATTAAATCCCGATACTCATGATCTTTTTAATTCGTTTCAGTCTTACATTAAGTAGTTATGTGTACTATTTTTCATCAATTGCCATAAAATATCAATCAAACATCACAGAGCTTTCAATTCTAGCTGTATTATTGAGTGAAACAATATTTTACCATATAAACTGTTATTAGGTACACTTGAAGAAAAAGGCTTTTGTGCATATCAACACATTAAAATTTCCAACATATTTTGTACGGGGGGAAACAAGATACAACTAAGATAAGGAATGTAGTGTTATTTACAATTTCTCCGTCAACTAATAAACTTATAAAAAGTGTACAAGTGTCAAAGTAGGTTTACTTTTAGTTGTTTTAATTGACAGTTGTTTAGGGCGAGTTGGAAGAGATCGATGCCAAAACGAGCAAAAACCAGCCCCGGAGTTCGCGTGCCAAGAAGCGCAAAAACAGAGCAAGGTTCGGATGTACCTGCAGCAGCAAAAACTGCCTAATGGATTTCCCTTTCGTACGCAAATCACATTGGGAGATTGTCGAATCTGGGTCGATATTTCGCTAGTCCAAGTCCATACACTTATCAAAAGCACAATATGATTATTGGAAGCTTGATCGAGGAAATTTACGTTTTATTAAACTCTGAACAAACTATCATAAACGAAATTGGTTGGTAGGCGTTTAGTGAAAGTCTTGCCCTTGGTTGCTTTTGTGTTTTTTCTGCATTTACTTACACAGGTAAATATTAAAATAACACAAACTACTAACTAAAAATCTGTGAAAATAAAAATCCTTCATAGCTATAAATCGGGAAAATTTATATTTAAATGTAGAATCGGTGTTGTTATCTAGGGCATAGAATGGAGATATTGCGTAATTTATAATACAGTAGTATTACGATTAATTAGGTTTGTGTTTATTTTTACGTTATATTGTTAATTGGGTTAGGTTTAACTATAAAATGATACTTAGCCACTACGGTGCTGACCGGATTGGCTAGAGATACCATACGTGTATTATTCAATGTGAACTTGTTGATTTGTTGATCTACAGGATTATTTTATTTTAAAAATAAGCTAAAACGAAAAATAACATCTTGTCAATAAGTCAACCTACTCCTGCAGTATCCGACATAAATATATTATCCCTTCTATTACTAAATATAATCTTAGCTATCTAGAATCTCTACTCATACTACAGCTGCTATGTCAACTCACTCTCGTTGACTAATTGCACCAGACATTATCAACTTATGCCGATCTCAGATATGAAGGACCAGACATTACAAGGAGGTCACAGCGGTGGCGGTGGCGGGGACGACTACAGGTGTATTTGTCTGTGATCGGAAGTTTGAAGAAGGGTGGCTGTTTCTTGCCTACTGCTCTAGATCCTTTCATAGGCAAAGCATCTGAATAAACAAACCCCAGGGATAGCGGGACTGTCTACTGAGGCCTCTTGTGTAGGAGGGTGGGAATTTGAATACCGCTTTGACCATCAACCGTTGTGTTCAACTGTTTGATGGTGATGCAGTCTTCCTTGTGAAGAAATTCCGAAATTGTAGACGCAAACATGTCGTTTGAGAAAGTTAAGTGTTCTGATTGGTAACTATAAGGTTTCAAAATCCACAATTCTGATTTGAGACCGTTTAGTCGGTTCTAAGACACTTTTTTGAGGAGCATTATGATTTTATTTAATCAAATAATTATTTTGATGTTGATATAATAGATTTCGTAGTAAGCAATACGCTGTTTCTTTTTCATCTTAAGTTTGTATGTACCTAAAGAACGTATACGTAGGGTGAAAACATTTTGAAGGCATATTGTCTTTTGCATTGGAATTTGACTAACCCTTTCGCAAGGAACAATTTGATTGAAGGTATATGTACTTGTTGTCTTCAAGCATCATTTCAGCCATAAAATGTGCCTCTATTCTCTTCCAAATAGATTAAACAACGTAGTAAACTAAAATATAGAAAATGTTTTCATTCTCCACAATTTTTTCTAAAAGACTGATAATAAACATTCCACAAGTACCACATACTTAAATGACCTCTAATCCAACGCAAACGGTTGTTGTTATAAACGCGTTTGGTTTATAACAATAAAGAAATAAATGTGACCAGTTCTTCGCCTTTTTATGAGCATGAAGATGAGAGAGACATACGGTATTAATAAATCTGTTTTACCAAAAATCTGTGCAACCGAAACCAGTATTTGCTCCATTTGATCTGTACAAACATTACAAGTTCTACAACTTTTCTAATGGACCTATACTGAGCATTCAATGAGTCACATATATTTTTATTCCCACATTTCATCAATGGTTAGAAAAGAACGACTACGTTCATAGTACTAGGCAAAAACTAAACCTCACCTACAGTCTCATGGAACCTTCCAATCGGTGTAAGGGCGCAGAAAAACAAATGGTCCTTTACCATCCTTTTTACAAAGAGATCTTACGTTTTTCCACATTCTAAAATACCTCAACTGAAAAAAGACTCACACATGTTATATCTTCTACACTTCATCTATGGTTAGCAAAATGTTTTCTACGTTAGCATACAAGCGGGCAGGCAGCTAGACTACGTTAATGTGTTAGTGTAAGTGAGATTTGCCGTACTTGGGAGTTGAGCAAAGGCCTCTGCATCTTCTCATGGTTGTACATAGAGTGCGCGTGGTTGTGCGTGTGCGCGGAGTGGTGGTGGGGGTGACTGCCCGCCATCTGAAACCAGCCCAACTATAATCACTACAAGTTGGGTACAGGCTGGGTTGCCAAACATCAAACTCAGATATAGAACTTTGGGAAATTTTGTTGAAAATAGAATTATTATGTTAGTATGGAAATTAGGGGAGTCTTAAACTTAAATTGGCTGGTCTGGGTTACCAAACTCAAATAAAATGAGAATTTTGTTTGAAAAGTGAAATCTGGTTGTTAGTATGATTAATGAAAAGAGGAAATATTAATGATCAATTAATTAACTTTTACGCGATGAATAAACAAAAAACATGGTAAAATCATTTTTTGAAAATGTCATAAATAGAAACATAGATTTAAAAGAGAAAGTAAACACAAAATTATAAGAGGAAATTTTGGGTTTTTTGTTTTGAGAATATATCAAAACCATAGAATGATTCAAGTACAATTTCGTTACCCGAAAAATAGTTCCAAACGAGTACTTTATTTTCTGGTAATTGATTTCTTCTGGAAATTTATTTTATTTTTTGTACTATGTTATTTCTATGTATATAGATTTTTTTTATTCTTCGGCGTATAATTTTTAAACTCAAAGCCTCCCTTCAACTACTGATACGTACTGTAGTTTTGTACTAGGATATTTCAAACATACACAAAATATTGTAAAAGGCTGCTTCGTAAATTTAATCTGTCATACATTGCTTCAAACATAAAATGTTAGTGTTTTACTGCAAAGACAGATGAAGGAAGAAAAATCCCCAAACCTTCTCAACATCGGCTATTATAACGTTTTACAAAACCAACATATGGTTACAAAATACTAAACAATATGCATCAAGATCCCATAAAACTTTATCGTTATTTTATTTGGCGCGGGGGATTCATTTACGTTGTCAGTCTATGTGGGCGCCCTTGAGTCAAAGATAGGATCTTTATTTAAATATTTGGGTTCCAAAATACCGGAGGACAATTATGATAATTTGGTGCAAGGTGGGTGATAGTGAGGCAGGGATTAGTGCCTTGTGATAGTCGTGAGTGATAGTGCGAGTCTACGGTATAAACTAGACGTGCTGAAGAAACTTAGATACGTACAACATTTTACGGTATTCCTGCCACTATATACAAGTGAGTTAAGGGGAAAATTTAGTAAAATTATGAAAGATTGTTGTATTACGATTAAATATGGTGAGTTTTAATTGACACAACCTTTAGACTTCATTATTGGAGATAAATTAATAAAATAATAATTTATAATACTATCAAAAGTGAATTTTAAGCCCTCTTTTTTAAAAGTCTTAACACAATACAAAGAACAATTTGGTGAAAAAAAGTTTCTAAAATCAAGTAATAAGGACAAACGAGCGTTCTTGACATTTTGCACACTGACAAATCCTTTAGTTTTTAAGGACTTATCAGCCTGTACGAACCAAATTAGAATTATTGGTTTGACATCCGTATGGTGTTTAAGCGTTATAGCAGACTTTGAGTATGTTAAGCCATTGCAGGCACAGACGCGTATTTGGGGCGGACAGGAGGACGAGAAGCGGTCCCAAGGCTGTTCTCTGGACTCTAATGTTTCACACTATCAAGTGTCCGACACTCTCCTAGGGCTCTGCCACAGCGGCCGATAGACCACTCCATACACTTCCTGTTGCTGTAATTACAGATTTGTGATATCTCTCCTACTACATGGAAGAATATCAAGGATTGATCAATTCCGTTGATATACCACTGTAGTTCGAGCCAAATTTGTTCGGGACTTTCTAAAAATTGCAATTTTGAACAGCGAAACAACTGGAGAAAAAAGCTAAAGAGCAAAACTACTTTCTTGGTTCTGGAACAAATTACATTCAAAAATAAATTGCTAAATCGTGCCATGTTGATTTTATTTTGAACACAGACGATGCTGAGAGATCGGGAGAATACGCAATGACTTGATATACATTATTTATAATAGATTTTACCATGTAAACGGGACATACAGGTATAAGGAACCGTTGTCTTACTTACACACAAGTTTGACAATGCAATTAAACAACTAAAGGACAATTTATTTAATTCACGTCCCTATAAGTAGTTGCACGGAGGATATTTGAATCAACTGTATTATTAATCATAGGTCAATTTATTCGGTTGAAAATCCCAAATTTAAAAGGGCATTTTTCAGCAATGTCTGGTGGAATCAAAGATTACACACTACTCGACAAAAACCTAGTAAACTGAAGAAGTTTTACAAACTTCAAAAAAATACACTATGCTAGGAAACGTTGCCAATTCTTAAAAAAATGTAGAAGCTGTTATATGAATATTTTCAAAACCGCTTTGTCTTCATTAACTAATGAAATGACCAATCGAGAAGTGAGCCAGCCAAGTTTGCTAGGAGCGCTAAGTAACTAGGGCCACGTATCCAGTATAATTACATGCCTGGGCCTGGCCTGGGCTGCTGGGCTGGGGTCAGATCGTGCACTACTGGACCCACATCAGTCACAAACACACCACAGCACCTGACTACCAGCTGCCGTGAGTCACGATACGTCACGGTGGAAACTAGCTAAAACTTGGTGCCGTCACTGTGGAAACTAGCTAAAACTTGGTGCCGTCACTGTGGATACTATCTAAAACTTAGTGCCGTCACTGTGGAAACTAGCTAAAACTTGGTGCCGTCACTGTGGAAACTAGCTAAAACTTGGTGCCGTCACTGTGGAAACTAGCTAAAACTTGGTGCCGTCACTGTGGAAACTAGCTAAAACTTGGTGCCGTCACTGTGGAAACTAGCTTAAACTTGGTGCCGTCACTGTGGAAACTACCTAAAACTTGGTGCCGTCACTGTGGAAACTAGCTAAAACTTGGTGCCGCCACTGTGGAAACTAGCTAAAACTTGGTGCCGTCACTGTGGAAACTAGCTAAAACTTGGTGCCGTCACTGAGGAAACTAGCTAAAACTTGGTGCCGTCACTGTGGAAACTAGCTAAAACTTGGTGACGTCACTGTGGAAACTAGCTAAAACTTGGTGCCGTCACTGTGGAAACTAGCTAAAACTTGGTGCCGTCACTGTGGAAACTAGCTAAAACTTGGTGCCGTCACTGTGGAAACTAGCTAAAACTTGGTGCCGTCACGGTGGAAACTAGCTAAAACTTGGTGACGTCACTGTGGAAACTAGCTAAAACTTGGTGCCGTCACTGTGGAAACTAGCTAAAACTTGGTGCCGTCACTGTGGAAACTAGCTAAAACTTGGTGCCGTCACTGTGGAAACTAGCTAAAACTTGGTGCCGTCACGGTGGAAACTAGCTAAAACTTGGTGACGTCACTGTGGAAACTAGCTAAAACTTGGTGACGTCACTATGGAAACTAAGTAAAACTTGGTGTCATCACTATGGAAACTAGCTAAAACTTGGTGTCGTCACTATGGAAACTAGCTAAAACTTGGTGTCGTCACTATGGAAACTAAGTAAAACTTGGTGTCGTCACTATGGAAACTAGCTAAAACTTGGTGCCGTCACTGAGGAAACTACCTAAAACTTGGTGCCGTCACTGTGGAAACTATCTAAAACTTGGTGCCGTCACTGTGGAAACTAGCTAAAACTTGGTGCCGTCACTGTGGAAACTAGCTAAAACTTGGTGCCGTCACTGTGGAAACTAGCTAAAACATGGTGCCGTCACAATGGAAACTAGCTAAAACTTGGTGTCGTCACTATGGAAACTAAGTAAAACTTGGTGTCGTCACTATGGAAACTAGCTAAAACTTGGTGTCGTCACTATGGAAACTAGCTAAAACTTGGTGTCGTCACTATGGAAACTAAGTAAAACTTGGTGTCGTCACTATGGAAACTAGCTAAAACTTGGTGCCGTCACAATGGAAACTAGCTAAAACTTGGTGCTATGATTAGCTTTAATATCGACTTGTGAAATTAATTCAAACATTTAACCTGGATCTTGTTTGTAAGCAAATCCTCTTTCTATATTTCATCTTCGTCTTCATTTGCATACTTTGAAATCTTAAGCTAAATGGATATCTTTTTAAGTGTATTATGTCTTCGATGGTTGATATGAAAATTGACTAATAAAATTGTAAAATCGAACGTATTTTCCCACCTTATTGTTTCTTTTCCGTCATGTATGTAGTTCAATATAAATAAAACTACAATGCGGTGAGATCTTGTATTATTCTGATAAACCTTTCTGTCTATAATTGTTGAACGTTTTACAATGTTCTGGTTTTTTGTTTGCTGATTATCTAAAATTTAAATGTTTATCTTTTCAATTGGTAGATTACTCCTTATCCCCAAGATTTGTTTGGAAATGTGTTGTTGCTGCTAACATAGCTAGCAGAGTTCAGTCCAGCCATAAAATTTTATTCGTTGCTAGTTAGAACGTGTAATATAGCTACGAATGCGAACCTTCATTCCTTTACCGTTTTGGATACGTCGTCGAGCTATCTATATACAGTACAAGTAGTTCCTAATCATCTATGGTTTTATTTTATAAAGATTTTCGTGAAAAAGTCATATTAGTTTTGGAATAATCCAAAGGCTAAAAAGTTTTTACTGGATCTATCTTCGATTTTCAGCAATAAAAACTGGCGAAAAACAATAAGTTTTTACAAAATACATTGTCTTGTATAAATATAAATTTGCACTATGATTTTTTTTAAAGTGACTGATATTTTTATTCATTTTCTTCAAATAAAAAATCTCCAAGGAAATGCAATAATTTCCACTTGAGTCGATGCTATCCATTAATTGGATTTATCACCACCAAGAGCTTCTCATGGCCTATATGCCGCTTCGCATTAACCTACTTGAGGGCCCCAATTTTTATTTAAATTTATTTAAATGATGAGAAATTCCAGGGTCGCAGACACCCACTTGTTTCCTCCCCCGAGTCTGACCAGTTCTGAGGGTAGGAACAGGTTACTGACTCTGGAATAGGGTTACTGGGGAACAAACTGCATAAATACAACAATCGACACAGCGACCCTGTCTCCTTGAGGTAACGGCTGGAACCAAATCATAGTTTGGGAATTTTCTT